CGTCCATCGTCTCCCCTCAAGGCTTCAGGGAGAAGACCACCATCTCCCTGCCTACCGGCACCATTCACACTATAGCCGAGGCTAAGACCCGGCCCAAGGTTACCACCGCTCGCAACACTTGAGGGGTAACCTGTGGCATTGCTAGACTGACTAACGCCAGCGCCAACCCCTTGGTGACTAACGCCACCTCCGTAGGCAGGACCATAGAAGCTGGAACCACACTGATTGTTCCCAATTCCATGAGTATCCGCAGCACTACCGTGGAACCCAGGCGCTCCACCAGGGTAACCCCCGGTAGGAGCCCCTCCACTCGGGCCTCCAGAAGGCCCAGCGGGATCTTGGCCTCCACCATAATGTCCAGGACCTGGCGGTGGAGCTGGGGCATGTCCAGGCCCACCACTTCCGCTCCCACCTTGACCAGGTGGTCCGCCTTGCCCACCACCTCCCCCGGGAGGAGGAGGAGGGGGCGGTCCAGCTTGAGCGCGTTCATGCCGAATATTGCAGCGTGCACATCGCTCAAGGCCGTCATTTCCGAAGTAACTGTGATTCTCACAGACGTGAGTCCCACAATCCGTACAGAGATACATGGAGACCTCCTGAGCATTCTTGCGGCATGCCCAGCATTTCATCTTCAGGAACTGACAATTGCAACAGTCCCCGTCGTCGCCACGGCAAAGCCCGCAGAACTCACGACTGCATGTCACACACGAGAATTCAGCATTCGGGTGCCTACGGTCGTTGGGATCATCGAGGGCACAAATCTTTGGCGCGTCTGGGCCATCACCGCCGGGAGCCCCTCTTGCAGCCGGCGCTGAGGCCTGTCCACGATCCGAAGGAGCTCCAGCAGTCCCTCGCCTATCGCCGGGACTCTGGGTGTCGGCGCTGGCTCTACTCCCAGGAGTCCTCCACTCATCACCAGGACTCTGGATGTCGGCATGAACCCTATTATCCCCACCACCTCCTGAATGACGACCCGGGTTCGGAGAGACGTTCCCGCTATCGCGGATTGGCCTATCAAAATTCGGAGAGACGCTCCCGCTATCGCGGACTGGCCTCTCCCCCCTCGGTTGTCGACTCCGGACCTCAGATCCCCTATCGGGGACGGCAGCAGGCCTCGGGCTCCTATTCCTACCCGCATCCCTATTGGGGGAAATAGAAACGTCCCCCCTTGCGCGCGCGCGGGGACCACCCCTTGCACGCTCCGGTGGCGAATGCGACCTGTCAGGCAACCCCCGAACCCTCCTGCTCCTGCTGTCGGACCTCTCCCTAACGGGATAGATGGGATGCCTGTCTGCGCGAGAAGGATCGACCCTATCGGGCACATTCGGCAAAACATGATCAGGCAAAACAACGCCTCCGCCTGGTCTCACCGGCAGGCCAGTACCCCGGCCGTCACCTTCCCCTGGTGTAGGCGTCGGTGACCTGATCCTATGTCCTTGCCCCGCAAATGCATGGTAACCAACATTCCGTCTTTCTCTGGGTTGTGGAGGAGCTTCATTAATCTGCTGGACACCCTGAATAATGCCAGCAGCCTCGTCAAATTGACCCTCCATCTCAAAGAGCTGGGACATGATTCTGTTGTTCGCGGCGCTAAGATTACGCACGTTACCATCGATAGCGCTGACTCTCCGCATAACACCTTCAAGTGTACTCCGGAATGTGCCGAGCTCTCGCCTAACGGCAGGCTGCACTTGGTCACTGCTGGCAGGAAGATTACGGATCTGTCCTTGGATGCCATCAACGACCCGATTCACAACTGCCGATCTCGCTTCATACTGTTCAACATGTGATTTCACGGTTTCAAACCTCGAAATGATGTCGTCATGATCCCTACGTTGACGTTGAATTCCTCGAGCCAGATCCTGCATCTTCCGATTGATCTCGTCAACAGCCTCATGCCAGTCCTGCGGGGAATCATGCCCTGATGGTCTATCGACCTCCTGAGAACCCCTTCCACTCTGCAGTCTAGACACTCGATTAACAAGACGAGTGTGCTCCTCTTTGACCCCCTCAATAGATTCAGAGGCCCACTTGGCAAATGTCTCGTGATCAAGGAGAGCTTTCTCGATCTTCAGGTTTAACTCCCTGAAATTTGCATCGACTACACTGCCGCTGGCCCTATCGGACGGATTCGCGACAGGATTCGGGTTCCATACACCCGCCGGTGTCCGCATCCCAACGGTTTTCTCTACCGAGAACATCCGTTTCTCAAGCTTGTCCAAATCCTTAAGGATCTCGTCCTCAGAAGCAGCATGGCTTCTGCGGGCAGCCTCACTATTCTCCTGAATCATCAGGCGAAGCCGATCAGTCGATGCCTCATTGTCCCTGACAGATTCATGGACCTCGTGGGACAGTAGGTTAATTCTCTGCTCCACGACCTCGGCTTGCTCATCGATGGCTTGCCTCACAATGGCTTTGCTGTCGGGAATAACTTCCCTCGCAAACCGCTGAACTATCATTCGCATCCTCCCGGCATCAGATTGAGTCGCAACCTCAGCTGCCAGGCGATCGACCTTGTCCTTCGTCCGTTGACTCTCGTCGCTCCATTCCCTTCGCATGGAACTCACCTGACCGTTCAGTACCCTGATTTGGTCAGCAAAGATGTGGAACGCCTTCGCGACTGAGCCAGAAACCTCACCTCTCTCGAGCATCTCCTGGATGTGCAAATCGAACACCTCCTTCGCCCTAGCGTCACCTGATTCGCCGGAAGACTGGGATCTGAGGGCGGGAGGAGTCGATATCTCGATCCTCTCAGGAGCCCCACTAGCCCCGGCATGTCTTCTGGGGTCATCCACGGGACAATCATCAATCCTGGATGGTCTACTCGGGGTAGATCCCCTTCTCCGGCTATCGCCAGATCGAGGATCAATGTTGGATGCACGTGACTCGGGGGTGGAGTGGATGTGAACATCAGCGGGATCGGGCATCTCCTCATCCTGCGGAGTTGAATCCATTGGTGAGGGGCTAGCCCTCCTCGCCTTTGACCTATCGGTCTCAGCGGCGAGAGGTGACGGTCTTTTCGCAGAAACACTACGTTCCCTGGCAGTCGAACCCCATTGAGGTGTGAACTCGTTGCTAGACCTCAGAGTTTCAAGATCACTGGTATCTCGCCCTAACGGGCTAGCGATCGACGGACGATCTTCGATCCCGAGTGCATCGGCAAGCCGACCATCTCTGGCACCTGTCCTAACAACATCGGCAGCCCGCTCAGTGATCCTCGGTGAACCAGTAACCCGGTTCGAGTTCACGTCTCTCTGACTCAACGGACCTCCAAATGTGATGTTGGGAAAGGGGGGAACATTCGGGGAATCACCAATCGCCGGGGGACCTACCGGTCCCTCACGGTCATGAATGGCCTCCAATCCCCGAAGAACTTCCCGACTGTCCCTGGCTCTCTCTCTCTCGCTTCGGGCATCCCTGTCAACGCGAAGGTCCCTGGCGGCTCCACGAGAGAGGCTCCTGGGCCTCGCAGCATCACGGATCCTAGCATTTCGTCGTGGTTGGTCCTCCTCCTCATCACGGCGATCCGCAAATGCGGCATACTCGTCATCATCATCGACCTCAAACTTGGCAGCGGCGGGACTAGTCCTTGCAGTCGCACGGCTGCCTGCATTTCGGCGCGAATGGCTCTCCTCCTCATCCGCAAAATTGTAACCTTCGCCATCATAAGACTCAGATTTGGCAGTAATAGGGTTGGGCCTACCGGCATCAGATCCCTGCTTTGAGCTACTGCCCCATCCTGCGGTCGATTTCAACAGATCATCGTATCCGAAGTCTGAGAACTTTCGCTCCTCGTGCTCATCAAACTGACCTGGATTCTGAGAACCAGTGGATCGGCCCGGGATACCTCCCGGAGCCAGAACCATAGTCCCTGGTCCCTGCGGCCTATTCTCAAACTCATCCGAGACCTGCGACTCACCTGGAACAAGAGATCTCGGAGGTCGAATCGGCATGGCCTCCGGGTCATCCGAATGAGGGCGGGCCATGTCCATCGCCATGCTGATGAAGTCAAAACGTCCACGCCTGTGACCTGATTCAGAGCCACTCCTATCGGAGTAAACCCTTCGTGTCTGCTCGTCATCAGTGGCCTGGCGGAAAATACGATCGTCTCCATCGTCGGCGTACCTGCCACGGCTCCTGGGTGTATCCCTACCGGGATCTTCACCCCTGCGGTCCTGACCTGTCGAACCTGCTTCGAAATCCTCGTAGTCATAGTCCGGTAGGTCCTCACCTGAGCGGAGGCCACCTAGGATGGCCTCCTCATCCACGACGCTCCTTCGAGATCGTGGGGTCGACATAGAGCTTGTAGTTGATGGTCTCAAGCGCGTAGGAAAGTCCTACGGCTGATAACCTGTGATTCGGGCACGAGCCTGTGCCCAGGCAATGGGTAAGTTGGGGTAAACAAGCCACAAAAGAAAGGTTCCCCAAAAGCAAACCAATCCCCGGTCCCAAAGATCAGGGTTTCCCACACACCAGAGAACAACAACCAAAAGGGAAAATAGATACCCGCAACCTAGATGAACCGCACGGGCGATCCCCACCAACCTACCCCGGGCCGAAGTCTCTTTCTCCTCCGACACGAAGGCGGTCGACGTGAGGGCCCGGCGACGCTCATCCGAGGCGCGCCGGATCCAAAACTTGAGCCAAACATCACAGGTCAGTCACTACCGCGACATCCCTGTTGATGAAATGAATCATGGCTAATCACACTTTGTAAACGTCACCCTAGCAAAGACAAACCAAACAAACTTGGCATACACGTTTAAACCACAAGGGAAAGCACGGCAAGCAAAGTCTGAACACAACTTACTGGCTTGCTGCGGCCCCAGGATCCATAGCATAGGTGTCCTGTTAGGGGAAATAGATGGCCCTGGTAGATGATGAAACCACCTGGTAAACCAGGGCCATCTATTTTTTCGGCAAAACAACCAAAAAGGACACCTAGATCCATAGTTTCAGTTCAGCTAAACGGGGGCCGCTTCGGGCCCCTGGAAACGATCGTCCTGCATGGCGAAGGTCATCTGGTGCCGCTTCCACTGCAGCCGGTCCTCGGAATCAATCGATCGAACAAGAGCTACTTCACCCGGTCCTCCAGTAGAGAGGTTCGAATAAGTTGGTACCCGATGTTTTTCTGTAGTCGAATTTAGTAGGTGAACCCTCCCAACCAAAAAAGAGGTACCAACTTTTGTCTGTAGTCTATATTAGTAGGGGAACCCTCCCAACCAAAAAAGTTGGTAAAAGGGCACTACTGGGGGACCTAGTACTTTACCCAGTCTACAAGAAGTGTGACCTTTGTATGGGACAACCTTTTGGAAGGCGTCCAAAGAAAAAAATCAAAAGAAACCACCCATTCGCAGGGCGGGTTTTCTTGCCACTTGGATGGAATGATCAGCATCGGAACCACTTTAAGAAGGGCCAGACCCTGTGGCAAGGACGCTTAAACAGGACAACCTGCGTTGCCTATTTGGCCGCCTTAAAATGGGGGGGGCCATCAAATCAAAACGGTCCAAAAGGAGATGCTTAAAACCCACCGAACGGGAACTGAAGGGAGCCTGGCAAGTTCAAGTGCACCACATGCTGTCTTGGAACAAAACTGTGGCTTTCTAGGCAAATATTCATTTGCGGGTCAAAACAGGCCTCTCTTTTTTGACCATGAAACAACCCCAGTGTCTGACTTTGACGACAACCCCCCGAGAAACTGTCAACACTACGTACGTGACCCTAGCATAGAAGTCCCCCGTTTGGATTCAATAGTTCCAACTCGATAACAACCGCACTGTCTGTCCAACCCAAAGCTACACTGACGCCAAGTCTTCAGTCGCTTTGATAGACTGATGGCCAAGATCCTGCACCAGTTTGGGATGGATGAAACCCGATGAATGGGAAAAACCACCTGCCAACTGTTGTGAAATGGAATTTGTCCATCCACAAAATTGTGGCAATACATGTGAATCTTAATCTCCATCAACCCCCAACCAAACATAACATATTTAGGTTTAGAATTGGGTGACCCTAAATGCATGCCAGCAAATGCTGCACACATAATTGTGCTTTGGTGCAAGCCGGAAACCGTTTCGTAGCGTCCCCTGATTCATGCTGATTTCAATGTCTACTCCAGCTACCCCCCTACTCTCCCTCCAGAACTCCTCAATGCCCAGCTCTGCAAAGAGGTTCATCATGTTGGGGTAGGCCCCGAAGAAGATGTGAAGCCCTGTCTCGATCCAGTCCCCATCTTCATCCTGCCATGCGGACACCTGGCAGTCGAAGATCTGGCTGTGCACCCTCCGTTGGCTTGGTTTACAGGAAAACCCTTAAGTAAAACAACAATGTTGGGGCTTCCCTGATTTTGGGACAAGCCCAAATCTGAACGCTGCTATGAAGACCTTGCTTAAAGCATAAGCTACGGGTTCATTCTGCGACACCAGCCGCCAAAGGTCCGAAATGGCCATAGGGTTCCATACATCTGCAAAACCAGACATGGATATCGATTGGATCAAACATGGAATCGCAAGCTGGCTGCCTGCCACCATGGTCAGTGGCTTAAATGAGAATGACATCATACGCAAATCGACGGTTGAGAAATCAAATTGACCTCAACAAAACAATGCGACGGCTAGTTACCAACGTTCAAGATCCTGGGATCGACTGGCGACTTCCCGTTCGAGATCCTCACATGTCCCTTCCCTGACATTCATGTTGTGACGTGCCAGCCTATCATGACCCAAGTCCTGCAATAAAGTCCAATATGGCTGTGGCTCAAGTAAATGTACCAAAATGCATCTTGGGAAATGGGACCGAAGACTAAAAGCTGCGGTTTGCCC